TTTACAAGAGTTCAAATTCCCTTTTTCCTAAAAAAAAAAAAAATTATTTAAATTTAAAAATTGAAATTCCTTTAAAAACATCATTTCAAAAAATATGACTTTGTCGTTAAAACAAGATTGGGAAATTAGACTTAGACCTCTTTATATCAAATATGCTGAAAATGATAGAATAAATTTGTTCAATATAATCAATCAATTCGAATGTAATGAAATTTATAATCCTAATATTGACGTACATGAAATATTCGAGCATATATACAAACAATCCTCTCATGAAGGTGGATTAACAGCAAAAAGACAACCAAACCCATTTATGATTTTCAGGACTGCCTTGGGAATAACCGCATCACGTAAATGTGTTAAACTTCGAGACGGAACTTGTCAAAGTAAAATTGCTGGTTTATTATGGAGAGGAGCAACACAACATGAAAAAAAGAATTTTGAAACTTTATCTTTAAAGTTTAAGAATTTACACAAACAAAAGTTTCCAGGGTATGAATATAGGCCGAAAGCAAGAAATCCAGTCTCTGGCACTTTTGTTGATATGAATAATAATTTTGGAACTAGAATCGATTCTAACAACCAATCAATGTCTCAAATATCCCAACAAATCCAGCAGATTTCTAAAGATAACAATGCCACATGGGATCAACCATCTTCATTCACGTTTACAGGTTATGCTGCTGGATTAGAAGGATTAGATTCAAATTTTATGATAGGTGGTTTGCAGTATCAACTTCAGCAAGAACAAACTCAATTTTACCAAATCCCTCAATTCCCGTTACCTGAAATGTATGTACCTCAAACATACTTACCTACGGAACTCTATCCAACAAATCCGTTGAATAATGAGATTAATATAAATAAAGTCGAATATTTCCAACAAGCACCTCCTCCATCCATCGCTGAAAATTGCCCAATTCAATGTTTTGATTTTAATAATGGAATAGATTTTCATTTTGGATAAGATTTTTCAAATTATCATTATTTTTATTTTTCGTGATGCATAATTATATATGTACAAAATTAAAAAAAAAAAGAAGCAGTTTGAATTTTCGTTTCATTTTCCCGTTTCCTCCATTTCCTTTCTTTATTATAGTAATTAATTCATCGGTTTTTCTATCAATTTTCTATTAATACGGTTTTCCGTTTCTTGCTCGCTTATTTTATAAATTAATCAATTGATTTTCCGTTTCTTACCCTTATTATTTTATTTTCCGGTTTCTTGCGTATTCATCGATTTTCTTTACCCGTTAAGGTTCCCACCCCGTAATTTTATGGAATCTCTTTTAATTTTTTAGAAATTCATCAATTTTATTTTTTTCTTTTTTCAAATATATATCATGTAAAAATTCTTAAGTAAATATATATAATTACCTGTAACAAAAAAATATCCACATATAATAAATTTTATAACATTTAATAAAAATTGTTGAAAAAAAAAATTAAAGTGGAAGGAATAAATTCTAAATAAATTATAAAAAGGAACTTGATATTAAATTTTATCGATTCTCAACGGTTTTTTTTTTTTAAAAAAAAATAATAAAGTAACTTTCGACGTTAAATAAGAAATCAATTTTCTTAATAACGGAAAGAAAATTCGATTTTTTGGTTAATATAATAATATATGATGATCATATTAATGCAAAATGTATATAAATGGCACTCCTAACAAAGGTCTTTGTTAAAATTGTCTTTATTGTCATACGGCGACATTTTATTTCATCATTGTGAAATGTTTCATCAATTTCTCATTCATGAAATACCAAATTTCGTTCATAAGATACTCTTTCATATGGGCGTTTTCTGTTTACTACTTCTTTGAAGATAACCCTGATTTAGTTCTATAGTAAATTAACTAATTAAAATAAATTTATTATAAAAAAAGGATTTGGAAAAAACAAGGCTAAAACTTGTTTTTACAATCAAAACCTTTTTTTTTTTTTTTTCCTTAATTTTTTAAACTCCGTTTTTTTTAATGTTTGTTTCCAAATAAGGGATAATTCTTTCATTTAACAAATTTTATATTATTATTTTTTCTTTTTCCTTTCTTTTAAAAAAAAAAAAGAAAATGAAATGATTTAATTGAATTTCTTCTACATTCGGTATTAAATAAAGATAAAATTCTCTTTCTTATATGTCTAAATTAAAAATATACATCATTTAAAAATTGAATAATTCAATGAATAATATAACAAATATGGAAATATTTAATTATTATTTTTTTTTTTAAAAATAAAAAATTTTTGTCGAATTAAAATAATTAATGGTATCATCTCAATAATGAAAACTGATAATTCGATAATTCATTTTTATTCCGGCCGAAAGGATAATCCATTTATAATAAGATAAACTTTCTTATTTTTAACTGTTAAGTTCCGTTTGAAAGCGGAGAATTTTTATTATTAATTAAAACATGTGTTCAATCATTAATTCATTATACATATTTTTTTTTTTTTTGTCAAATTGCCTAAAAGTATTTTCTAAATAATAATCTATTTAATATGCCAAGCCGGAATTCCGAGATAAAATTCCGAAATGATATTCCGAAATAATATTATTATTTAAGGGGAAATATAAAAGCCAAGCGTTTATTAAGCCGTGAAAATATATATATATATATATATATTTCCACATAAATTTATCATTTTACGTTAAATTTTTCCTAGACGAAACGGAACGGATTAATATGGTCTACGTATAGCTTTTAATTTTAAAATTTTCTTCTTTTGTTTATAATTAATTAAATTAATTACATTTGTCGTAAAGCGATATTGTGTGGTGTCTATCCTCTTATGTGTAGTATTCCCCCACCGCTAAAACTAAATGTACCAATACGAAGCATTGAATATGTGGTCACTATGAAATTACATGTGTGCAAAATATAAAAACTCCTTAAATTTTCTCTACTAAACAAAACGGTTTGCGATAACCAATCATACGTGCAGAATTCAATTCAAAAACTTTCTAAATTTATAATTGTGTTTAAAAAAATAAAATTTTCGAGTTTTTGTAAATATAAGAAGGTTTAATTAATTAATTATTTTTTTTTTACTCGGAAAATAATTTTTTTTTTTTTTTATTATTGTTAAAATAAAAATAAACATGTTAATTCTTCCACTTTGTAATATAAATGGACGACAAGAAGAATTGAATAATAATAATTTTCATACGATCTTTGTTTTTTTTTTTTTTCATGATAAAAAAAAGATAAAACTTTTATTATCGGAGTCGACAAAATTATTCCAATTTTAGTTAATTTTTAATTACAATGATTATCAATGAATAATTAGCCACAACGATCATCAAACATGCTTGGCGGCGTGTTTTCTAATTGGAATTAACGGAAACAATACACCGTTGGCGCTCGGAGTCAATTTTCCATGGCTTGTATTCAAAGAAAATGAGCCATGTTATTATAAGAATTACCCGAATATATTTTACGTGATAACAAAATCACTATCATTTGTCATAATGACATAGTAGTAATAATAAACGAAAAAGCGCTAACTAATCTAAATTTCAAATTCCGACAAGATAATGCATTTAATAAACATTCTAAAGACGAAAACGTAGGAATACAAAACACAAGTATGTAAAGTACACACTAAACCCCAAATAGTATTGGAGGCTTGTAACAATATGCGCATTTCATTATGTGGCTAATCCTATGCATATAATCAGGTGATTCCGCGCCAATCATCAAAGGAAGGATAAAATCCCAATAATATTAATAATATCAACTCTTTTGCTTATTAATAATTGTGTTTCTAAAATTTCATTTTCGAGCTTCGTGTTTCCATATAAAATGTTATGATAACAAAAAAATGTCCAGAGTCAAGTATCTCTGAGTTATTGCACTATCCTTTATTTCGAATGCAAATTATAATAATTATACATATACATAGATATATTATATCATTCACGAATAGATATATATGTATAATTAGTTGTTAACACGGGGGGACACGTTTGGTGAAACTTTTATGAAACTTTTATTATAGTAAATAGTATTTCCGTGACTATATGTTGATTTTTGGAAATGGAATTTACTGTCACTACCCTTATACATGTGACTGTATTAGTAACGCAAATCATTTATAATGTCCGATAAACACGTGCTAAATTTTATACATAGGGTTGGCTAAACTGAAAATTTTGATTGGATAAGCAATATTTCTACCAAGAAATAAAGATCATCGAATAATTCTATCAAGAAAATCAGATCATCGAATTTTCGATTTCTTAAAAGAAAACTCAATTATTTATCATATTTTGCAAAACTCCCCTATTTTACTATTTTTATATTACATTTACATTTCCATGTCGAAGATATATTATTTCATCGCTACCGTAGTACCGTTAAAGATTTAACAGAAAACGTAAGTAAAATTAAAAAAATGATGTTTCAGAATAATTCTACTATTGTCAAACGACGCACATTTTTTCTTTCTTTCCTTTCTTTTTTTTTTTTTTTTTTTTTTTTTTGAAACGTAAACATTTACATAAAACATTTACATAATTATCTATATAGAAGATGGAAACTATTTATTATATTACCATATCTATTTATTAATTACTTATTATTATTATTATTTTTTTTTTTTTGATGTCACAACAATCATACTAAAAACATCTCTTCATTGATAAGCTAATAGGATTAAGGCATATATGATCGCAAATTATGTAACGAGATACACAAACAAAACTCTATTTTTTCAATAATAGTTGTGTTATTGTGATGATAAGGCAATGTATTGTTTTTTCTTTTAATGGGCATTTTTTTATTACTCTCCCATGATTCTACCTAAACTTTGGTCATCTATTTTCTTTGTACATCATTGTTTGATAATCCAATCATGTTTTTTATTTCCGAAATTTACAGTATATTACATATATATAATCGGTTGAAAATATATACTAATATGTGGTCATCTGATAAAACCTATACATGTAGTAATAAATATATGATCGAAAATTAAAACTTTTTTCAGTATGTTATCGTACGTTGTGATGAATAATGAATTAATGATTAAAGTTTTTTCAGAGATTATTATTACATCAAAAATTAATGCCAAGAGCTTTTTTTTTTCCTCATTATTTAACTAAAAATATATATGATCATACAGTACATTAAAAAGAATTCTCTAAGTGAACGTAGGGAAATGGAAATTTTGCATTTCCTAATAGAATTCAGAAAAAAAACCTAAAGATTACATAAATGCAAATAAATAAATAAACAAATTTTACATAATCTGTTGCGCCTGGTTTGATTTTATTTTGTTTACTAGATTTCTATGAGAAATTTCTGTGGGAGATTTCTATCGAAGATTTCTCAAAATCATTGAAAAAGAATATGTAGATCCTATACATTTTTGGATTTTTAACCAAAATAAGCAATTCCAAAGAATTTTCTTAGACTCAATAAATACATATCGTGTTATTTTTTAGTAAATAAAATTTATTTAAATACTCGGTATTCAATTTCTTTTTTTGTTTCTCCTTGTTTCATCTAACAATTAAATAATAATAATAATAAAACAAAAACAAAAACAAATAATAATCACAATGTAACAGAAAATAATCAATTATTTTTTTTTTATAAAAGAAAATTATTTGTTTCCGGGTCATGGTACGTGCGAAAAAGAAGGTTCTATGCAAAGAATGTTTCTATTATTAAATTAAATGTTCAACTAATATTCCGTAGATCAATTTTTTTAAAAAAAAAGTGTATCATCACAATCATATGTAGTTTAAAGTTGTTGTGACATACATTACTTTAATTTTTTTTTTTTTCATGTGATATTGTGATATTAAAAAGATTTTTTCCTTTAATTAAAGACTTTTATTTAAGGGAAATCGACATTTATCAAAAAAAAAAAGGAGCACGGAGAAAGAATTCGTATATGTGGAATTTAGTGCGTGGAAATAAAAAGGGATCAAATTGTAATCTGCTGCTTATCATTTTATTCGCACTAAGAAGAAAAGAATTAATAATAAATGTGAAAATCTGCTGCTTATCTTTTTTATTAAGAAAATTACCCTATATGATAATGGATCGGATTTCATTGTTGTTTTAAGTATTTGTTGTTATATTTATTATTTCAATTTGTAATTAGCTTTGTTTATTTGATCATTTTGAATGTACACATGAATATTGTATATGTATAAAGGTTAAAATTCATTGGTGATCTCCGAAAAATAATTTGCGATGACAAATATTAATAATCTGTTGATATTTTGGCGTGAAAAAAAAAACAATATACAAATTTACAATGAATCTGATTAACGTAAGTCGGTAATAATCAATTTTATACTTGAACTTTATAAATGACGATATAATATTATAATAATAATTCAAAGCAAACAATGAAAGATTTTTTAGATCATCAAATAATGGTTATTATGTATGTTAAATGGCTAATTTCATACTAATCATACTAATTTTGTCCTAAAATAGAAAAAGGCATTTGTTATATGATTGTTCCAAATTAAATATAGGTACGTTCTGTTATGCAGGATAGTGAGGATACTATGACGAAACGCTCCCAAATATAATGCCGTATCGTGAGCAAAAAAGAATAATATTATTTAAATTCGAAAAAAAATTTATTTTCTCTTGAAATTTTACTTAATTCACTCTCACGTGATAAAAAGTGCGACTTTCAGAAATTAAAATCAATTCATAATGTTGGCCGGAATTAATAATTAATTTCAAATTACAGTAGTAAAATTAAAAAAAATGCTAACTGGTATAATACAAAATAAGAGTATCGGGACTTTTCGCCGAAACCCGTTTCGCTGAAACCATTTTGCCGAATGGACATTTCGTCGAATGGATATTTTTCTGAATGAACATTCCGCCGAAAAATTACTTATTCCATTTTGTTAATTTATTCTAAATAGAAATCTTTTCTAGATTTGAACTACAGTATACTCTCGATATACCGAAGCCACGATATACCGAAGATCACCATATACCGAAGATTTTTGTATAACCATTTTCATTAATAATTAAAATTTTTTGATATACCGATTTTACTATAAAATTTTATATAACATTATACCGAAGTTTTCATTTTTACCGTTTATAATAGTATATAATAAAAATAAGTTCGTTATACCGAAGATCAAAATTATATGATCAAATGATGTTTAATTTGCGTAACTTTCTCAACTTTATTCTCTCATTTTTATTTTTCAGTATTAACGTTACTTTGAAGTTAAATATTTAGCTGCTTTAGCTTCTTTAAAAGATATGAACGTTAGATAATTGGATTAGCAACAAGTTATTTGTAAAATTTGTTAAACGTAAAATATGTAACGATTTTCATAGTATAATAAAGTCACATGATTTTAATCTTAATATAACGAAGTTTTCTAAAAAAATTATATAAACTTCGGTATATAAAAAAATTTGATATACCGAAGATCACTATATACCGAAGTTTTAGTCTTGAACGGCGACTTCGGTATATCGAGAGTTGACTGTAGATGATTTTTATTCGTTGTTATTTATAATATATTAATCTATTTTTACTGAATAAATGTTTTCAGGAAAATAAAGTTATTCATTTATTGCTTAACAATTAATATCAGTTACTTGAATGTTAAAGTGATAATATCCTGGAAAAAAAAAGATCACTAAAAATAATTTATTTTTTATTTTCATTGCGCGATGAATATTTTTTATAAAAAATGATGAAAAGTGGATTCGGTGAAATAGGATAAAATGCATTTTCGGTGAAACGTCCTTTCAGCAAAACATCCTTTCAGCGAAACATCTCCCTTCAGTCCAAAATAAGAAATCTTAATTGAATTTTTAATTGGCGAAATTTGTATAAATAAATGAATAAATAACCGGAAATCATAATTATTGGGTCGTATGACGATATTATGTATGTAACATTTATGTAACTCCCGTCGTCGTAAGTACTTTTTAAAAACTTGATTTAAAAAAACAGTCATATTTTACTCAAACTGCTAACCAAATTAACCGATGTTAGGTAACCGATCATTAACTTAACGATCTGTTATTTCAAATTGTGCAGACCCACAACTTTGCTAATATGGGTAAAAAATTCCGAAGCTATAATATATCTTGATTATAAAATCACACCAGTAACCGTTATAAGAGTTTTTTTGTCCATCGGTATTATGTATACACCGATGGATTTTATAAAAAAGTATAAAATCTATATAAAATCTATCGGTATACTGTACGTAATACACAATGAGAGCCTTGCATATGAGCATATCTAAGAAAAATCCCCGATATCCATGGAATAAACAAGTATTTATTAGATTCGTTATTCCAAAAAAAAAATTTCACTGTAAGCCAATGATTAAATTTTTACTAACAATGTGCAATTTTGTGTATGTCATATCTTATTAAAATATCAAATATGATATTTATGTGAGTGAAATATGAATTTTAGTAGATTTGATAAAATTTGAACAATTAATGTCGCCCTACAGCGTACCGGTTTATGTATACACTTGGGAAGTATACAAAGGGTTTGTTATTAAAATACTGAAACTTCGCACAATATATCTGCTGATATATATATACCTAACAAACTTAAAAAATGCACCATTTAAAACGTATCCTCTTTGGAATTATTCTCCAGTCCTCTGGTTCAGCTTTTGCTAATGAATATGTTCCTAAACAAGATGATTTTGATCAATTAATCAATGCGCTTGTTCCTATACTGCTGATAATTTTTTGTTTAAATCAGAAAGAAAGAAATTTCGGAAAAAGAAAAGGGTATTAAAGAGAAAGAGGAATTTAAAAAAGAAAACATATAATTACAATAAATAGAATTTGTCGAATCTTCAAGTATACTAGTTTTTTAAGGATTTTGCAACGCCCGTTTGCAATTGGATTTCAATCTTTTTTTTTTTTTGAATTACAGCCAGTTCTGTTTTCATTATAATTATAAATAGATATAAATAAAGGTTCAGAATTAATAATTATTTTTAATATTTGTCTCTCTCGCAATTCAAAAATATTCCTGTGAATAATTTCACGAATGTTTTTATCTACTCATATGCCGTGACTGGGGTTTTAAGCATACCATTTATGTTAAAGAAGACGTTATATCATGCACAATTTTTTATCATATCATTTTGTTTGAACGTAAGTTGTTACTGATTTTCTAGAAATAGTTTCATAGTTTCTGTAAAATTTTAAGATCTCTTTGTGTTTTAGTGATCCATCAGTGACGGAGATTTATTTAATGAACTTAACTTGTTTAACTGAGCTTTATCGATAATTCTCCGAGATCTATTTCTAAATATTTATTATAGCTCCTAGAAGTTAAGTTGTAAAAACTGCAAGTTTATAAGTAATTGCAAAAGTTATTACTAGTTATTGTAACAGAGTAAAAAGTAAAAACTTACCTCGAATTTTATTATAAGTCTATAATATTCTAAAAATTCGAAAATTAGAATATGTTTGGTTGTTCGATCAACACCTACCTGGCCTGTATTATGATGATCTTGGCATCAGAAAAGGTGCCAATATTACATATATCACTATCTAACGAGGAGATTATTTAATATTTTTATGAAATAAAGATGAAAAACGAGCGTGAAGAAAAAAAAAATATCAAACTAGGTTGTTAACGTAAATTCCAATGTAATCCGTTATTAAAAATTTCAAATTTTATATGCTAATCTAAATTATTGGTTCCGTCATATTTTAGAATTTAATTATCACAGATCACGGTCTTTGTGAATTGTGATGTGGGATACGAATTTTACATAACTTTATTCAGAACCTTAGAAGGAAACAAACAATTATTTCATCGCGCACTTACACAAAATGATGTTTGTAATTTCTCAGGACTAGCTTAATAATTAAATTTAGATTTCCTTTTAACGCTAGTTTATTTGGTATTTGTGGTGGCGTGAGAAGTAATATGTGGGAGAAATCCAGGATTATACTAAATATTCGTATCTTGTGATCATTGATCGACGATCTCATGATGGGATTTTAATAAAGCTTAACTAACTATGGCGTGACTATAAATGTATTATTATGCATGTCTCTCAATCATACTAGATAACATACAATATTTGTCATTTTTTTTTATACATTAACGAAAAGTTTAAAAAGTTCTTTTGATTTGAAACGTTTCTCTTTTCATAATGTTTCATGCAAAGTTAACTAACTACTTGCTAAAACATGTGTTAAATCTATTCAAGGCTTCTAATACAAAATATTATCAGTTTAATTTTTAGCCAAATTTTTTTTTAATGTGTACTATTTCGGGCTTCCACCCTTTCAAACCAATTTTAGGTTAAAAAACTTAATTTTGCTGTAAACATATCATTTAAATAACGTAGGCTGAAATTATTGCACGATTTCTCTTTTCTATGCATAGTTCTGTCCTCAAGGACTGTGATATGAATCATTTCTTTCGTAACAAAATTTGACCACTGTAGGACTTGTGCCCATCCAAAAGGATGTTTGCCATCACAAGCTACATCGCCTGTATCATTTTTTAAATTAAAATGTTGTGCTAATATAATTTATTAAATGCAATATATCCCGAGTTTCATAACAAAATAAAATGAAATAATTCCAAAACAATCCTAACTAAAACTACTAAATCAAACTGCGATAATTTCCCCTTATTAGTAACTACAACATACCCTTAATTATAATAATTAAAGTGGCTCTTTTCATCATAAGAAAAAGGTTAAAAGAATCGACCAATTAAAAGGATAGTGTGAAAATCTAATTATTATCCGTTTCAAGGTATTTATACCTCCTAATGTTATACTAAGTTCTAAATAAGGGCTTCCATTAATAATACCGATTAAATAATAATTCCCCCGTTCTAATCACAAAGAAAAATCAATTAAAATGAAATAATAATTGCGGATCATTTCAATAATGCACGTAATTACCCTGACTATTACCATCATTGACCATCTTAATCCCCTATATAACCCACTTGTTGATCATTCCGGACCGCAGCAAATAAAATACAGAGAAAATTTGTTTTTTACTTCGAATCACCGGGGGTGATCATCACCGTTGGCCAGAATTATCAATTTTTACCGGCACTATATTGTAAATTCTAAAATTAAATATAATACTGCGCCCCAAAATTAATAATTTCACGTAGCTACACCATCTAAAGATTTTCTCGTCATTTTTTAGCAAGAACCAAATCTCATTATTTACATTACTAGAAATTATTACAAATTCATTATTTTTCGCCTTTGTTTCAAGTTGTTTATGTTCGTAAATTGCGATCACTGGGGCCGAACGTCACAGATTGCATGCAGTAAAATGTTATTCGAAAAGTTACATGCAAATTGTTTTTGTACTAAATTTTTAAAATGTACAATACTTCAGTATTACATCAATATTATAATATCGTTATTATATTTCTTTTTTGAAATTTAAGAATAAAGTAACTTCTCAATAAAAATTCAATAATTTGGTTCTAATGTTTAAATGTACTGTACTTCTTTCAAAAGCGCTTAATATTTGACACGATCGACATCACTTTCAGGAGTTAGATGAATAAAATTTGTATTTATGGAAAGTCATAATAGGAATAAATATATAAATCGCGCTCTAGACAAATAATTCAAGAAGAAAGGCAACTTAATTATAGTCGTTACACTGAACGATTTCAAATAATTATTATCTAATTTTGGTAACAAATTTCAAAAGCAACGCAAATACCTTATAGTTAATCTAATTTTTTAATGACTTCAAAGATTAATCCATGCATATTAAGATATGAAATCGTGGTGCGTTTAAAGAATAAACCTTTCTCTTATTATTTAATATTTAATTATATAATGTGAAAAAATTCACGAATTCACGTACTATCTAAACGGCTATTAATTTCAGATCTTAATTAAATTAGAATCGTTAAACAAAAAAGACAAGAAGAAATATGCAAAGGATATAGAAATAAAAGTAATATTTCAAAAATTCTTAAATTTCAATAAAATTCAAAGACTGGAGCCACGATTATTAAATTTGGGATACAAATAACTTAATGATCAATTAGTGATCACTCGCTCGGTACGCAATGATCATATTAAATTACAAGAAATACACGATGATCAATTGTTTAGTTACGATTGAAACAATGCAAATTTTTTTTTATTTTTTACTTGCAATAATTGCTTGTAGTAATAAAAGTAATAAATTGCATAGCTTTCATAGATGTTAAAATATGTACCATATTGCGTAATAATATACACAGGCGATCTCGATAACTGAAACTCATCCGTTCATACTTCCATTAGAAAAAATACGATATATCGAAAATAAATCTATTATTGTGCTATAATACTCCGTTCCAGACCCAACTCCGGTATATTGAAGGTTCAGGTTTATCAAGATTGCCTGTGTAATTGATTTCATGAACTAAAGAAGAAAATAATAAAAAGCTTATGTATTGATAAAGAAATTTGAAAATGAGTTTTTAGTGAATATCTTAATTATCAATTCAATCTAACAAAAATGAGAAAATCGATTCTTGTAGATTGAATGTTTCATTGGGAATTGAAATTTCATATATATTAATATCCTGCGGGCAAGTAAAGAAATTATCTAACGGATGGTGGTAATTAATATTCTGATCGGAAAATTCATAATTTGGATATATGATTCGTTCAAAGTCTAAATTATCAATATTATATATAAGTTGTTGATTTACTTGATTCGTGGTATTTTTTTGGATAATTTTAGGTTTTCTTGGTTGTTTTCTAGTTGTACTTTTTTTTGACTTACGTTCTGTATCTCGAAAGTTGCCGTCATGCATACCAACGAAAATCGAACCAGCTGGCTTGTTTTTACAATAGATTTTATCTTTATGGTATTCATTTTGCAGATTTTTAACTTCTGTGGCGAGCTTCTTGTATTTTTCACGATCTTCCTCCCCCAATTTTTTCCACATTTCACTAACGACTTGTGTAAAAAATACTCCATCTTTTACTTCCTCTATGAGACCTTGTTCCAATACTTCAAGATAAACGACATGCCTAAAGACAAAAAAGCAGTTCATCGACCTTCTGGGTAGTCCTTCTTTATTCAAATCTTTGACCATTATTTTATTCGCTGAATACTCTGGTGGAAAAATTTTCGTAAGGTTAAGTTTTTCGATAAATTTGATTACTAATGTATTATCCATCTTCTTGGGTCCGGACCCTTCTATATTTTCTGCTGAAGGCATAAGTTTACAATGTAACTCATCTACTTCATTCACTATTACAGGGTCAATATTTTTGAATTGTTCAAGCTTTTCCATTATATTGAAAAGAAACTTTTAAAAAAGACAAGATAAAAAAATTGACACGAAGTCTATGAAAAAAAAAATTGCGGTTTAATACTATCGTTATTATTTTATACAACACTTGGGATGTCGTGTTGTAAAATCTAAACCAAAAGCTTCCTTTTTTTATATGTAATTTATCTATTTTAGTAATAATTTATGCACATAATTAAAAATCAATGCTATATTAAACTATCACGAAATTAGTTAAAGGTAAAATGACCAAACCTTATTCTTTGAATTTATTATGATTTTTTAGATTTTAGTAAAACTAAGGATTTTGATTTCACCCATTCCGTTGTGTAATAGTAAACAATTATCGGATACATTTTTGCATAAAAATAGTTAAAAAAAATCGGAGAAAAAACCCGTTAATGCATAATCTGAGTATCACTACTGACCAATCACTACTAAATTTATTTATTCATTTGATTCGTTTGACAAAACTAGCTTATTTTGATTATTGTGTCATTTTATCCGGATAATTATCGGATATTCGTTATCCGAGGATTGGCAGAAATCCGGATTAATTAACCGTTACGCGGAATTTTCTGAGATTTGTACAGTATTACTACTGTATTACTAATGTAAAATTTGCACAGATCCCGATAATTCCTGCAAATGCCATGGGAATCCCATCACTAGTACCATCCCTCCGGCAAGAACGGCGCAAAAATTTTCTATAGATTCGCAGTGATAAATTGTCAAATTGCAAAATTTGCTTATGATATTCTACCAAAATTTGTTCCTGCAATCCAACATATTCGTTTGTAACTATTGTACAAATACAATAAATATTATAATAATGAATTTTTTAACTAAGAGTTATAAGAAAGTCTTAAATGCAACTTCGATTGAATAAAAATTTTTATTGTACATTTATCAAATAATTCTTATTCTGTGTAACTTTTGTAACTATAACCAGAGAGGTACTAATAAACATGATATTTTCGTTGCAGTGCTTATTAAGAGTTTGTTTAAAATTTCGGTATTGATCGTTACTTTAAAAGTCTGTCTATTCAAGATTTATTCATTTTTTAGACTCATGATTTGATTTGTATAACATTACGCTTTCAAACGATTTTGGGGTCAAATGAGAATTTAATTTTGCTGTATAAACAACGTAGGCTAGAAAGTGATGATCTACGTGATTTCTCATAATTCGTGGCCAAGGATTGTGAAATGTGAAGTGAATCGCTTCTTTCGTAACAAAATTTGACAACTAAAAACTTTCCCGTCATTTTGATTAACAAATATTCAGAGAAAATTTTACACTGACAAAAAAATTAAAAATATTGAACTATAAATAATTCTTGTATAAATATTTATAAATTATAAACATCTTTTTTTTTCTTTAACCTATTAAACAAAAAAATTTTTTTTTCCTAAATTTGTAAATTTCAAATCCCATTATTTTCATTAGTACAAGTTCCCATTTTCTTCTAATGCTTTTTTATTTATTTACTTTTTTACCTTTGTTTCAAGTTTGTTTATATTTTATAAATTGTGATCATTGAAACCAGAATGTCACTGATTACGTGCATACAAATGATTCGAAAGTTTAAATCTTGTTTTTGTATTGTACTCAAAAAATAGAATTCCAAATTTCTTTAAAAGGATACTTTATCATATACTGTATATTATGTCAGTATTATGTAAAAATTAATGTGTCATTATTATTGTTCTTTTTTACTTACGAAATTTTAATAAAAATAATTTCTAAATAAAGGATTTCTAAAGTTTTGTTCCCAAATATTTAAAACACATCTTTTCTAATGTACACTTTCAATTACAAAGATTTCACAAAGAGACAAGTCTAGAATGAGACACGATCGACATGATTTACTCCACAAAATAAAATTTGTACGAAATTAAACATTGCCCAGGAAAAATCATTTCCAATAAAAAATTATATTTGTTTTTGTTTTTCTATTTCGTTTCGAGTTTTTATTTGTGAAATTGAAGAACCAACCATAATAATAATAAAGCCCAATAAATAAATTTTGGAAAATTTAAGGACTTTCCTAAGCTGCGCTTTCTGAATTTAAATTCTGTTTGGGTGCTTACATAATAATTCGTATAATTCGGTACTTTTATTATTATTATTTTTTAGTGCATACATTGACTGAGTAATTGAAATTTAAATTGTACAAATGATAAATTATAAAATTTTATTAGTGGGATAAATAGAATCAAAATAAAATTGTATTTATGGAAAATCATAATTGAAATAAATATATAAGAACGCGTTCTAGAAATCATTGTAGTCGTTACACTGAACAAATCAAATATTTCACATTTTTATTAAGAAAATGAACGTATAGTTTATTTGCAAATTTCAAAGGTTAATTCGACCATGCATATTAAGTTACGAAATTGCGGTGCATTTAATAAGTAATAAGTTTCTTATTATAATGCAATTTTTTAATTATACGTGAAGATTAAAAAAATTTACAGAATCGTTAAACGGAAAGAAAAAGAGAAATAAGCAAAGAATATAGAAATGAAAATAATTTTCCAAAAATTTTAATTATAACAAACAAACCGAAAATCCAAAGACTGGAACCACTTGTTAAAATTTGGGATGCAAATCATTTAGTGAACAATTAATTGATTGATCACTCGGCTCGTTACGCAATGATCATTTTAAAAAATTACGTGTTATGATTAACAATGCCAATTTTTTTTTATTTGCCAATTTCATATAATTTTATTTATCTTAATACAACGTTATTTACCCATAAACAAATCCATATGCTTAAAAATTGAATGAAATGAAAAAAAAATACATATGTAATAAATTGCATAGCTGTTAAATATGTACCATATTATGTAATAAATAAAAATCTTATGTATTAATAAAGAAATTTGGAAATGAGTTTTTAGTGAATATCTTATTTATCGATTCAATCTAACAAAAATCAAATGGTAAAAACGATTCTTGTAGATTGAATGTTTCATTGGAAGTTGAAATTTCATATATATTAATATCCTGCGTAAAGAAATTATCTAACGGATGGTGGTAATTAATATTCTGATCGGAAAATCCATAATTTGGATATATGATTCGTTCAAAGTCTAAATTATCGATATTATATATAAGTTGTTGATTTACTTGATTCGTGGTATTTTTTTGGATAATTTTAGGTTTTCTTGGTTGTTTTCTAATTGTACTTTTTTTTGACTTTCTTACTTTATGTTCTGCATCTCGAAAGTTGCCGTCATGCATATTAACGAAAATCGAACCAGCTGGCTTGTTTTTACAATAGATTTTATCTTTATGGTATTCATTTTGCAGATTTTTAATTTCTTTGGCGAGCTTCTTGTATTTTTCACGATCTTCCTCCCCCAATTTTTTCCACATTTCACTAACGACTTGTGTAAAAAATACTCCATCTTTTACTTCCTCTATGAGTCCTTGTTCCAATACTTCAAGATAAACGACTTGCCTAAAGACAAAAAAGCAGTTCATCGACCTTCTGGGTCTGTCTCTTATACACATCTAGATGTGTATAAGAGACAGACTTCAAGATAAACGACCTGCCTAAAGACAAAAAAGCAGTTCATCGACCTTCTGGGTAGTCCTTCTTTATTCAAATCTTTGACCATTATTTTATTCGCTGAATACTCTGGTGGAAAAATTTTCGTAAGGTTAAGTTTTTCGATAAATTTGATTACCAATGTATTATCCATCTTTTTGGCTTCTATATTTTCTATTGAAGGCATAGATTTATAATGTGACGCATCTACTTCATCGTTAATGAATGGGTTGCTTTCATGTACCACTTTATTGGGTTCGATTTCCCCTCTACTTTCCGATGAATAAAGTGACATATCTCTGCTTTCTTCATAAAAATCATTATGAGGGATTGAATTCATTATAACTATAGGTTTTATCGTAAATATTAAATGTGTAATTTTTTTTTTTACTTTTTATTTTTTTATTTTTTTTTATTGTTTTATTTATTATAAAGCTATATTTTACATAAAGCTAACGTTAAGCAGCTCATCTACAACATGTCTATTTATAAGAAAATTTATAATAATAAAAAAAAAATAGAATATTTTTTAATAATTCAATTAAAAAAAATGCAGGAATTAAAAAAAAATAGCGGGGAATATAATTAACCAATTGTATTTAATTGATATATTATTTATTTATTTATTTATCCAACTCATTTAATAAAATAGATCACAAACAATAATGGTTACATTTAAAGTTTTTTGCTGAGAGATTTTTTTCATTCTTATTTTTTTTTTTTTTTTTCAGTTAACAGAAAATATATATATATACATATATATATATATAAATAAAATAAAATAAATAGTATTAAAAGAACAATATGCTCTCTCTCATTGTTTACTAATAAAAAGAAAAATACATATAATACGTGAAAATCAATGATGAAATATGCGTGTAGTAAGTCTCTGAAATGCGCAATTATAATTTAAAAACTATAATTATTATTTATGTATGTTCTGACGCTAAACGGGAATCACGCGAACCTGGAAATTTGTGACACGATCGATAGGATATCATCAATATCGTTGGCGCGTGGAAATTGAATCAGAAAAAAAAAAAAATGTACCCCAATGTTTTTAGTAGTAGATCATCAAATCTTTTCATAGCAAGCATATAAAGAATTATCTTTAAAAAAAAACGACAATATGATCAGAAATAGAAAGAAGACAAAGCTAAATTTCAACATATCAAACTTAAAAAAAATTTTTTTTTTTTTTTTAATCATGAGGAAAACATACATTTATTTGTTTTATTGTGGCTTTTGATAATTAATGGCAAAGCGCGTATGTAAATCTAACTTTATTTGAAACAGAATAATGCATGAATTTTACTATAAATAATATATTTTTTTTCTTTATTACCAAATATTTTTTTTTCTAGTCTTTCATAAATGATATCATTTATTTGACCTTGGTGCATTGTTTCGTAAATTTGCATAATGTTGATTAAACAATGAGGAATTATTTTGCATTCTTTTTTCTTTTTACGAACCTTCTAAAATAATATGTTTATTATTCTTGTAATTTTCGGGATCTTTGGATTTAAAAGTTTGAAATGCATCAATAATAACCATTGTGTAATTTAAAATACCTGGTTTGTAAAAATTTTTTTCCCTCTAGTTATACCCATTTATTTTGAATCTTTAACTAAATAGGAACCAAATGAAAGAGTAATGAAAAATTGTTTCACAAAAATGATGATCTTCCCAAAAATCTTTAAAAGCACTCTCTATAAAGATGAAAATTGGCGTTTTTTTGTTTTTGCATAGTTTCACAATAATTAAATACTCTTTAAATGGAATAGAATAAGGAATCATGTCATAAATAATAAATACGTATGGGGGAAATATGTTACCGTATCATAGTGATCACTTATGCTAGAATCAATCAACGTGGAGAATAAATTATTTAGCACGCGGCAAGAAAAATTCACTAGTACATGTTACTTTTAAAAAAATGTATTGATTACATGATTTATGATTGTCATAAAAAAATTTTTTAATTTGTGAATATTTTTACTTTCACGTGTAACTATCGCTGCATACATTAATGTTGATAAGCTCCCTATTACCATTCCTACATATTATATTATTATCATGCTTATTATAAAAGGAAAAATATTTCATTATCAAAAATATCACGTTTATCATCCATCCTTTGTTTAAACAATTTAAAAAGAAATTTTTAACCCAGAACTTTAATTTGAAACAGAAATGCCACTTTGATTAAAATAGTTAAAAAAAAATAGGGGGAGCGGAAATTTGAAACAAAGAAATATATATATATTTATCTATTTATTATTTAAAGAAGTCACTTCCATATAATTGATATTCATTCTGGAGCTAATTATGTGTCACCATGTAGAATTTGCATGATTACACTTGAATTCCGGAGTGTTTAGTTATTCGATGGGCCGAAATATTTAACATCGTACAATGTCGTGACATCTATCTTAACTTATTAGGTATTTTTGTATAATATGATGATTTATTGTTAAATGATTGGCTGTCATTGTGACACTGATGATGACAATCATTCAACTATCATAAACTGCGCTAATTTACCACATATGTGATAGTAAAGTATTATAATATTAAAAAATAGCGTGTAAAATATAAGACTTTTAAACAATTAAATGAAAATATTGGCTAATGAAGAAAGTATTTAAACGCCAATATACATAAATTATTAATAAAATTAAAATTTTATAATTAAAATATTATTAATTCAAATTAAAAAAGTAAGATCATAGTTCTTTCAACGTGATAAGATTTGTATAAATAACGCGCATTATGTACTAATGAAATTGTATTAATTTGACTCAGAGTTTTGTGTTAAAAGTGACAGAACTTTAATAATATTTATATTTATTAATTATTTGTTTCTATAATAATCAATCGAGGCAAAAGTGATTGATAAAAATAATAGCAGAACAAATAAGATTAAATAAATTTGAAAATTTTAAATGAGGAAATCAATACAATAAAATGTGACTTCACGATATCAATAATTAATTTAAATTGTATAATCAAAATAATAAACAATAAATACTTGCTTGAATGCTATTATTAAATGAACAAAAATTAATTTAATTATAATTACATTAAGGTATAATAAATTACCAAATCACGGTGAACAACTCCTTTCAATTAAAATAATTCAGAAAATACTAACTATACAAATACAACTAAATGAAAAACTGAAGACTCTATAGGAAATTAAAGGGCTAACTTTTTAAATTGAACTTATTTATGCAATACAACCAATTTTTTCTTCTTGAAAATATTAATAATTCAGTGCAAGTCACACGACAACAGCCATTCAATATTGACCGTAACGAAGAGCATAATAAGTACTATACAATAATCTATAATGATAATAATATTTGTTAAACAAAAATTATAATTTTTTATCACAAAATAAAAATATTCTAATTATTAAGAAAAAACTTTAATATTAATTGCGTGTAAAATATATAAGACTTTTAAACAATAAATGAAAAGATTGGCTAATGAAGAAAGTATTTAAACGCCAACATACGCAATTATTAATTAAATCAAAATTTATAATTAAAATATTATTAATTCAAATTAAAAAAGTAAGAAGATTCTTGCGACGTGATAGAATTGTATAAATGACGCGCATCACGCACTAGTGAAACTTTATTAATTTGACTCAGAGTTTTGTGTTAAAAGTAACTGAAATTTAATGATATTTATATTTATTAATTATTGTTTCTATAATCAATCGAAGCAAAAGTGATTGATAAAAATAAAAATAGCAGAACAAATGAGATTAATAAATTTGAAAATTTAAATAAATCATACAATAAAATGTGACTTCATGATAACAATATATAAATTTAAATTGTAAATCAAAATAATAAACAATAAATACTTGCTTGAATGCTATTATTAAATTTAAATGAATAAAACTTAATTTAATTATAATTACACTAAGGTATATAATATAAAAATCCGAATCAGGAACTCTATTACAAATATAACTAAATGAAAAAACTGAAGACTCTATAGGAAATTAAAAGGAAGTTTTTAATGTCAACTTTTAAATTAAACTTGTTTATGCAAAATACAACCAATTTTTTTCTTCTTTAAAATATTAATAATTCAGTGCAAGTCAAACGACAACAGCCATTCAATATTGACCGTAACGAAGAGCATAATAAGTACTATACAATAATCTATAATGATGATAATATTTGTTAAACAAAGATTATAATTTTTCATCACAAAATAAAAATATTCTAATTATTAAGAAAACTTTAATATTATTTGCGTTTAATATATAAGACTTTTAAACAATTAAATGGAAAGATTGACTAATGAAAAAAGTATTTAAGCGCCAACATACATAAATTAAAATTAAAAATTTATAATTAAAATATTTTTAATTCAAATTAAAAAAGAAAGAAAATTCTTGCGATGTGATATGAATTGTATAAATGACGTGCACTATATACTAATGAAGTTGTATTAATTTGACTCAGAGTTTTGTGTTAAAAGTAACTGAACTTTAAAAATAATAATATTTGTATTATTTGTATTATTCATTATTTGTTAAAGAATCGAAGAAAATGATTGATAAGATAAAAATAGAAGAACGAATAAGATTAATAAATTTAAAACTTTATAGTTAATTAGGAAATTATACAATCAAATGTGACCTCACGATATCAATATTTATTTTAAGATGAAATCTAAAAAATGACAAACAATTAAATACTAGATTAGTGAAACTGTCAAAATAACGTTAGCTCTATAGTACAATCACAGCTAATAAATGAAAACCTGAAGTAATAAATCTCCTCTATAGGAAATTAAAGGAGAATTCTTTAACGCCAATTTCTTAATTTGAACCTACTTATGTAAAAAATTAAAAATATAAAAACAAACAACCAACTATTTTCTTACTCATATTAATAATTCAATTAACTAATTTGATATTTTCAAATTCTTTATCATTGAATTAATAATCCTCTTAGCATACAATGATATATTTCATTTGAGATTTTCCATCAAATTCAACCAAGGTGAAAGAACGAATGAAAAAGTCTTTGGCGCTAGAATTTAATTATTCAAAATTAGATATTAAAAAAAAATACATACAACATCTATATATTAATCTTGATACCACTTGGGAGTGAAATTATATTTTTATTTTCTGAGTTATCACATTTCCTTATCATTTAAAATAAATTTCATGCTATTAAAACTCATTATACAATAATAAAATATTTGTTTCACAAATGATTGCACTCCAAAATACTTACTTTAATTGTTAAAAATTAAAAATTTAAAGTAATATTATTAATTTGCATTAGAAAAAAAAAAGAAAGTTTAATATAATTGGCATTCATTTGTGATAATATTGATAGAGCGACACTGACTCAGAGCTCGAAAAAACGAAACTAAACTTAAATAATATTTTTAAAAGACGGAATTGAGAAAATC